CAGGGCTGGGAGAGCACTTAGAACAGGGAATGGCAGGGCTGGGAGGGGCCTTAGAACAGGGAATGGCAGGGCTGGGAGGGGCCTCAGAAACCCACACTCCCTCACCTCCTCATTTTACAGTTAGAGGGAAATGAAGCCCAAAGAGGGGGTGGGCTGGGCTGCCTGAGTGGGGGGCGTCTGTCTCTCTTCCTCGGGGCTTTTGTCCTCCTGGGTAGCCTGGCACCCTCTCACCTGGGCTGACCAGGGCCTCGGGTCTGGGCTGGCTCTCATCTAGCGAATCCTTGGCTCCCCCCACCCCCAGGACATCCAGCAGCTCCTTCAACTCCAGCAATTAGTCCTTGTCCCTGGGCACCACCTCCAGTCACCTGCACAGTTCCTGCTACCACAAACCCAACAGGGTCAACCAGGTAAGAATCCTGCAGAAGCTGGAGGACTGGGGGTAGGGGCGTGGCCTGTGCAGTGGGCCTTCTGTGGCTCTCTGGTGCCACCTTGTGGAATGGAATCCTGGAACCTCACAGCTTCAGAAGCTAAATCTCTTCTATAACATCTTTGACAAACCAGCTTCTAGCTTCTGCTGATGGACTTCCTGGGACGGGGAGCTCACCACTTCCCAAAACAGTCCACTCCTTCTCGATACAGCTTTAACTGTCGGGAAGTTCCTTTGTTATACTGAGTTAAATTTTGCTTCCCTGGAACTTCTCCCCATTAATTCTATCTCTGCCCTCTGGGCCCCAGCAAAACAAGCGTGATCCTCCTTCAAGGAAAGATGGCTAGAATCCTAGCTTTGGAGAACAAAGAGAGACCCCAGAGGGCATCTCGCTCCACCTCGAGTGGGCAGAAATGCCTTTCACCACATCCTGGACAAGCAGTCATCCAACCACCCCTGGATGCCCTGAACACCTCCAGGGATGGGGAGCTCACCACCTTTTGAGGGATGCTGATTCATTAATGGAGCCACCATTTGCTAGGAAGCTCTTCTTTTGGTGGAGTCTGCCTCTCTGGGACTTACCCTTACCCTGCTGCTCCCCAGGATCTGAAGGGGATAGCATCATATCTAAACTCAGGAGCCCTCTCTGGATGTGTTGGCAGGGGGTGGGGATGGGACATACATTTGTTAGCTGGTGCCCAGTAATGCGACTGCAAAGATCCTTCCCCATGTCTGCAGAAGCTCTGAGGTTGAGTCTAGTTAGGGCATGGTGAGTCAGGGGGCTGAATCCCCCTGAGGCTCTCTTTCCCCACCTGACATCTGTCCTGTCTCCCTCAGGCCTGCTCCCAACACCAAATCTGTTCCAGCTACCTCAGCAAAGCCAGGGAGCCCTCCTGACCTCCCAGCCCCGGGCTGGGCTCCCTACACAGGTAAGCAGCTCCCCCTTTGGGACAAGCCAAATGACCTAGGTTCTGTACCAGGAGCAAAGAGGCTCAGTCAGCTCCCCTAGTCACCTAGCCACAGAGCAGGTCCAGGAAAGGGAGGGACCCCTATTCCCAGCTGAGAGGAAGAGGGGGCAAGTGTGTGTGCCCAAGACAGTGCAGCAATCTCTGCTGCTAATTAAAAAGACAAGCAGCTTTCCTGGTGCCAGGCTTTTGGGTAGATAAGAATGGGGCTTACCAGTTGGTGGCCCCCTCTGATGCCTGCTGGTATATGAGGGTGAGTCTAGCTCTGGCAGCTGAGTGTGTGCCATCTGGCCAGCTCCAACAGGCTGGGAGGGCTTCAGCGTGGGCCCCTTGATGGGCCAATATCCAAGGACAAGTGCAGAGAGGCTCCTCACAGGGGCGGCCTCAGGGCAATGAGTTTGGGGGCTGGCTCCTGAGCCGCAGAGGGCAACTCACCAAGTGATAAATGCTCAAAGCCTTCCAGCACCCTGGCTTCTAGATTGTCTGAAGCTCAGAACATGCTGTTCCACCCACGATTTCATCAGATCCCAGGTCTGAGTTGTTGTATGAACTTGGGTTGTTTGCTTCGTGCCCCTGGGACCATTCCCTCATCTGTAAAATGTGTGTAAGAGCAAGTGCACTGTGTGCCTCCCGGGGTTGCTGAATAGAAATTGGAGTTATCATTATTCCTGTTCCTGGTAACAGCCTTGTGAAGCCAGATGAAAATTATTCCCCTCTTTTGTAGATTAGAAAACTGAGGGGGAGAGAAGGGAAAGGGACTTACCCAAGGTCACACATGAGCAGTTAAGGTTACTCCCAAGAGCTAGGATTCCAATGCTGGATTTTTAACTCCCATGTTCCACAGGCTTTACAAACTAAAGATGATAATATAATCTCTTGATTTTGATATTGATATTAAGAGGATAATGTAATTTACTGATTTTGATGTTATGAAGAAGATAATGTTATCTATTGATTTTGAAGTTGCTATTAAGATAATATAATCTATTTATTTTGATATTGATATTAAGATAATATTAACTATTGATTTTGATGTTGACATTAAGAGGATAATATAATTTATTGATTTTGATGTTGATATTAAGAAGATAATATAATCTATTGATTTTGGTATTGATATTAAGATAATATAACCTATAAGTTATGTGTGAGTGCCCAGTGCTCAGAGGGTGGTCAGGAGAAGGTTGGGTAGGTCAAGGAAGATGCCTTGAGGGAAAAGATGGGGGAGGCTGAAGATGAGGACATGGGGTGATATCTTAAGCCAGAGAGCTGCATGAGCAGCTGAGTGAAGGGCAAGAGAGCCGCTGGAGACCCCAAACCCCCTTGCCTTCTTTCCCCCAGGCAGTGACCCGACCCACGCTGCCCGATCCGCACCTCTCGCACTCGCAGCCGGCCAAATGCTTGGAGCCACCCTCCCACCCTGAGGAGCCCAGCGACCTAGAAGAGCTGGAGCAATTTGCTCGCACCTTCAAACAGAGGAGAATCAAGCTGGGTTTCACTCAGGTCTGGGGCTGAGCAGCGCGGCAGGGGGAGAGGGGGGCCCTTTGGGGAAGCCGTCTGCGCTACCTGCAGAGCCCTCTACAATGTATGAAGTGCCTTTCGCAGCCTATGCCCCACGCCCAACAAGGTGATCCTTTTGTAGCAGTCCAGTGAGAGAGCCTGGGGAGGGGACAGGACAAGTGAAGTCGGGGCTGAGGGGGTGTGGGGAGACGGCCACCGCGGACAGCCGTGGAGAAGAGTCCCGCGCCGTGCCGGGGCTGACCGCCAGACCCTGCTATCCCCTCCTCTCCAGGGCGACGTGGGGCTGGCCATGGGCAAGTTGTATGGCAACGACTTCAGCCAGACAACCATCTCGCGCTTCGAGGCGCTCAACCTAAGCTTTAAGAACATGTGCAAACTCAAGCCCCTTTTGGAAAAGTGGCTCAACGATGCAGGTGGGTGTCTGAGCTGCGCGTTTAGGCGTTTAGCGTCAGGGGCGGCTGCTCTAGAAAACAAGCGCGGCCCGGAGCCTGCCTGGCCGCCGCTGTCCAGGGTGCTGAGGGAGGCGGAGGGAAAAGCGGTGGCGCGCCGGGGCAGGAAGCCTAGAGACAGAGGGCAAGGCCGGTCGGCGGAGTCCTCTGACGCTGCCTCCCCCGGCACAGAGACCATGTCGGTGGACTCCAGCCTGCCCAGCCCTAACCAGCTGACCAGCCCCAGCCTGGGCTTCGATGGGCTGCCGGGCCGGCGACGCAAGAAGAGGACGAGTATTGAGACCAACGTCCGCTTCGCCTTAGAGAAGAGCTTTCTAGCGGTGAGGAGACCTGCTCCCCGCGCCTCGTCCTGCTCCCCCCCCATCCCGGCCCGCTGGGGCTGCCGCTGACCTCCAGCCTCTCTGTCCCCAGAATCAGAAGCCTACCTCAGAGGAGATCCTGCTGATCGCAGAGCAGCTGCACATGGAGAAGGAGGTGATCCGTGTCTGGTTCTGCAACCGGCGCCAAAAGGAGAAGAGAATCAACCCCTGCAGCGCTGCCCCGATGCTGCCCAGCCCGGGCAAGCCAGCGGCCTACAGCCCCCACCTCGGGCCTGGGGTACTGTGCTCCCCCTCCCCCAGCCACCTGCCCCTGGATCATAGAGCTCAACCTGCAAAGTACCTCAGAGGCCATCTGGTCCAACCCCCTCATTTTACAGATGAGGAAACTGAGGCCCAGAGGGAGAAATGACTTTCCCAAGGTCACACAGATAGCCATTGTTAGAGGCAGGATCCAAACCCAGGGCCAGCGCTCTTTTCTCCCAACCATACGACCTCTTCGAGGCACTAGTTATCATATACAAGCAGTCACACCAAGCCACACATGTGGCCACTCCAAACACAAACATTTATTAAGTTCCTGATATATGATAGGCACCTTCCTGAATGCAAAGATAAAAAGTAAATCCTAAGGGAGATTATGTTCTACCGTGGCATATATACAGATCTGAGAAGGGAGAGTGCACTAATGAGGTATGTGTATGTGTGTGTGTGGGTGGATTAAGAAGTTTCCTGTAGGCAGTGGCCTCAAAGGATGGTGTTTGTTCTTGTTGAGTTTCAGTCTTGTACAAATCCCCATGACCTGGTTTGGGGTTCTCTCGGCAGAAATACTGGAGTGGTTTGCCACTTCCTCATCCAGCTCATTTTACAAATGAGGAAACTGAGACAAATAGGGAGAAGTGACTTGCCCAGGGTCACACAGCCAGTAAGTGTCTGAGGCTGGATTTGAACTCCGGTCTTCTTGAAGGACAGTTAGGAATTCTCAAGGGAGAGGAGGAAGTGCATTGCATTCAAGGAAGGGAGACAGCTTGTATGAGGTTACAGGGGCTGGAAATGAGAAGTCAAGTGAGGGGACCAGGTGTTAAGCCAGTTTGTCTGGAATGTCCATTGCATGAAGGAGAGTGATAAGAAATAAGTATGAAAAGGCAGGTGCCACCAGATTGTGAGGGGCATTCAATGCAGGGCTGTGGAGTCTGGGGCCCAGCATTTACCCCAAAGGCAGCAGAGACACTGAAGATTTGTGAGCAGGGCAGTAATGTGGTTAGAACTGTGTGGTTTTTTTTTTCCCCTGAAGCAAGTAGGGTTAAGCGACTTGCCCACAGTCACACAGTAAGTGTCAAGTGTCTAAGGCTGGATTTGAACTCAGGTCCTCCTGACTCCAGGGCTGGTGCTCTATCCACTGTGCCACCTAGCTGCCCCAGAACTGTTTTAAGACTCTGAATTCAGTAGCTGTATGGATGATGGGTGGGAAAGGGTAGAACCTGGAGACCCAGGCACCAAGAAGAGGCAGCTGAAATAGTGCAGAGGAAAGATGACGAGGTACGAACCACAGGTACACAAATGCACACATGGTCACAGACTCACAGTGATACACTAGGGTGAAGCTTGGCCACAGCTAGGCCAGAGATGGGGTGGCGATCTGGTAGCATTTCTTCACATTTTAAAGGACCTGACATGGCAGCAACCTTGCTGGGACACAGTAAGGGTTTGTCCCCTCTTCTATACCCCATCTCCTCCAGCTCTCAGCTTACTAACGGAGCCTCCAAGAAACATCCGTCCATCCCTCCATCTCTCTCTATCCACCCATCCCTCTATCTCTCCCC